TTTTTTTTATGCCTGGCTGGATAAATTAACCCTAAAGTGGATTTTTCTTTAAACGGTACTTGGGCCAAAGTGAACCTTTTGCAACTATCTCCAGAGACTTGGAATCTCAGTTTCGGCTGATGCAGAAATGTGGGAATTAGTCTACCAGGACATGGATACAAACACGGAATTGAACTGTAATACTTGGTGCTTTTGAACCTTGGTCCAGGACTATTTAGCCAAACTAGATCTTCTGAAACAGCCCCAGGAGCTGGAAGTGCTTGTGTTTGACTAGCTGGCTTAAACCTGTGGATACTAGGCCATCAGGCCACGTATACAACCATTGCATTTTACCCTGGTACTTTGGGGTTTAAATTTGGTTTAGGCCTATTTAGCCAAAGCGAACTCTTTGAAATGACTCTGGAAACTTGGAATATCGGTTCAGCTGGCACCAATTTGCTAGGGATCAACTAGGACACAGATACAATCATCGAACTGGACTGTGAGACTTGGGGGCTTTGAATTTTGGCTTAAGTTCTTGGGCACCTGGAACAGAATGGCACAAGGAGAATTTTGGGATGAAATAAAATCTACTCTTCAAACAATACTAGAAATAGTGAGATCCCACTACCAGGAGACAAAATTATTCAATCAACATTTGGAAAATTATAGTCAACAAGCAATAGGGAACAACGAAGAAGGAAATGAGAGTGTGCCAGATGATGTATGCCAATCAAAAGAGGAGCTGGAGGAAATTAACCTAAAAGAAATGTCAATTTTGGACTAGAGGAGAGTACTAAGGGAAGACAAGGGGACAAAAATACTGTAGTAAAATTAATTTTAAAAAGCCTGGAAGATCCATCAAAGATAGACCAAGTGCATAAAGAGCTAGTGGGCATAAATCAGATGCACAAAATGGTTTCAGAGGGCATGAAAGATGGCATAATGCTTAGAGACACAAAAACACAAAGTGAAAAAAAGAGAAATGAGAGAGGGAATTACCTAGTAAGATGAAAAAGGGAAAAACAAGAGGGGGGGCTTAAATTTGAAAAAATGTATATATTTAACATCGAGAATTGTAAAAGGGTATATTCTTTATATTAAAAAGGAGAATTAAATTGAAATAAGGGAGCGCTAAACAGGATAAAGATGTAATACAGTGGTTTTTCATTTTAGGTAAACTAAACTAGATATAAAGCTGGAGTATGGATCTGGAACTACCTTTAATAAGAATGATATTAGAAGACTTAGAGAATATTGTATATTATGAAAGCAGTGTTATGATAGTAGCCATATTATATATCAAAATATGTACATGAATGGTTTGAATGTTTGAAAGATGTTTGGAATTTGGGGGATAACTGGAAAGACACTGAGATGTAAAAAACAAATAATTGTAAGCAAAAAAGTCTCCGAATTTCTGAAAACCTTGGTCTCCTTGGCCAAAGCTAAGGTACTAGAACTGCTTGGTAATGTGTGAAGAACATGGTCAAATTGTTGTATTGTGAGGGCCCTGAACATGCTGGCTATCACAGAGGCCAGCTTGAGACCTACCCAATAGAAGAACAAGGTTGCCTCCTTGAGAAGAGATAGGGGTGTGGACCCATCCTGCTTCGTAAAGTAGAACTGGCTGTGTCATCGTCTGTTCTTAGCGCTAGTTCATAAGCAGCAGGGAGAAATGGCTTAAAGCCATGGTTCCCAACCTCGAGTTTTCAGGTGTTCTTAGACTAAAACTCCCAGAAGCCTTCACCGCTAGCTATGCTCACCAGGATTTCTGGGAGTTGTAGTACAAGAACATTTGGAGTCCCAAAGTAAGCTGCCAGAAGCTCCTGTCACCTGATACTGTGTAAGGCCTATGATGAGAACCAGGTCTCCTGCATTGTGCGATCTAGTCTGATACCCCTCTTTGGTTAAACCAGCATCCAAAGTTACCAGTATCCTGTTCCTAATTACAAAGGGGGACACCTTTGTTGAGAATGATCTTGATCATAGTGCTATCAGACCTGATGGAAACATGTTTTTAAATAGAGATTACAATTGGTTGTTGTGGGTTTTTCGGGCTCTTTGGCCATGTTCTGAAAGTTGTCCTTCCTAACGTTTCGCCAGTCTCTGTGGCCAGCGTCTTCAGAGGACAACAACCATTAGATCCCAGCCGCGAAAGCCTTCGCGAATACAGAGATTACAATTGACTAAAATGCATGGAGTACAATTCAGGCAGTTTACACTGTGCCCAGTCTGTAGGACTGTCATCTGTGATCAAAAGACCCTCTGGGAAGCCTGCCAATGGAGAAGGACTGACCACACCCTGAAGACAAGTGTGGCACCAATACCATCAGTACTTTCAAAAGTAACCAAGAGACAGAAGCCAAACGAATCAGTAAGACTATGAACTGAAAATAGCTTTTGTCCAAGCAAAAATGAAATGATTGCTTGTATCAAGTCTGGATAGCTACATGAAGGCGTGCTTTTGTAACATATGTTAGTTTAAAAAATATGGCCAAGGTGAAGGTCTTTGAAACTGGTGACAGTGGAAATGTGCTCCTGTGGTTCTCTACAAAGCTCATGAAATAGCCTTCACTGACATTTTGAAACACCTATTGATCTGTAGCCAACCTCTTCCACTCTGGGAGAAACTAGAAGAGATGTTTTCCCTCTTGCACCTGGACTGGAATTTAAACCTGGATCAGGGAGGATGGAAGTTACCAGAATTCCTGGGTCTACAAAGTCCACTGGAGGGACAAAAAGGAAGAGAAGAGAGATTTGGGTTGCTGTTGCTACTCACCCCCCTGAGATTCTGTGTCTGCTAAACACTCTCTGTAACAGAAGGAGGCCATGAGCTGTTGAAATTCTTGAGGAGACTCAATACCATCCTGGTGGATTTCTCAAATGGAACTTACCAGAAAATAACCTTTCCCAGCTGCCTTCTTCCCTTGGCTCAAGTTGGCTGGATCTGAAGTAAAAGCGACCCTGGGTGAGCAAGATTCACTGGAGAGCCCCAGACTAGGTGCCTTTCTCCCTGCCTTAGAAATAGTCTGGAGGAAATTCGTGATCTTTAGCAGAGATATGAAAAATTGAACAAAAAAGCAATATTTTTTTTTCTTTTGAGGAAGTGAGTTGAGAAGCTAAGACAGTTTCCTCCTCCTTTTGGAGAACTCTGATTGGCTAATTAGTCCCTGCATATTAGAAGCAAGAGGAAAAGACAATCCATCTGTTCAGGATACCCTCCTCCACAACAAGAAAATTCCATTAACAGGCTTGCTTCTAAAACCACCACCCCCTTCACCTTCCTTCAGTTTTCTTAGGCAAAAACAAATGAGCTACATATTCTGTTATGAGTGAAGGTTTGATACCATAGGCAGAAAGGCTTAAAATAATAGAGCCATCAATCAAGAATAAAGGTTTCCTGTTTATTGTGTGTACTGTGAATATGAGACTATGCTCAGATCTCATTCCTATCACCAGAAGCTGGAACTTCATATGCAGGTGAAGCAAGAGAAGTAGCAGAGTTAGAGAGTGATTTCCTATGCTGTGAGTAAAACTTCCGCATGATGCTTTCTTTCTTAACCTTCATCAGGTCTAGGGACATAATTTGAAAGAAAGGAAAGGAAAAGAAACAAAAGGAAAGGGAGAGAGGGAAAGAAAGAAAGAAAGGCACAATGGTGTGTCAAATATGAGGAAAACTGCAAATTTGCTCAGCTTGTATAAATTATGCAAGGTGCAAGATTCGGCTTTTTTGTTCTAGAATTTAGATCACTTGGAAACACAATCCTGAAATAAAAATCATTTCAATACATTTTAACAAAACTTTGTATAGGAACAAGGAAAATGAAAAAGACTGTTTTGCGTAGTTCAATTAAACATGCATTTTTCTTTTTTCAGAAAAATTTAAATTATATATATTGAAAATAAAGCATGTGACAGTTGGCAGGCAAAGTCTGTTTTTCTTGAAACCGGGTACTTTTCTGTAAACATAAGCTTTTTTCTTGAAAGCCAAGTGTATTTCTAACATATGTTTTAATGTATATATCCTTGCTGCTCCAAAAATCTGGAACCAATTGAAAACTTCAGCTATAAATATTCTCGTATGGCATTCTACCAGCAAAAGAAAATTAGTCTAATGGGAATTGTTAAAACTGTCCAGAGTTGGCCAGAATAGCTTAATTCCTGGTGAATAAGTGTTATGTAAAAGAAAAGAAAACCACCTCATTGTTATTGTGCCACCCACCCATGTGAGCCAGGAAATGCACAGCTTTTCATGGATGAATGTGTAATGTTCAAGAACAGGTTGGGTTATGAATTTTGAATCCTGCTTTACAGAAAATGAGAAACCAAGGCTTGAAGCCAATACAAACCACAAAGCACTGATGATCCTCATTTCTCACTCATTTAAGGGACTGCACTGGAGCCACACCAGTGCTTAATGGACAGCACCCTGGGTTCTCCAAATGGCATGCTTTATGCAGCAGTTCTGTCATGGATACACTCTGTGTATTACACATTAAACTGAATATTAAGAACAGATAAACATTCTAAAATGGTCAGGAGTTCACTCCTGTGAGCCCTGTATAGCCCAACCTCTTGCCAAGAAGGAGGGGAAGTGCTTGTGGAATTGTCTGCCTTGCCTGCCAAAACAACTTCTCTAGTTATGGGCAATTTGCACCCCAACTTAGGGGAAGAGGAGGTCCCATCTTCTGCCCTGCATAAGATCCCAAATGTCTTGGGCCAGCCCTGCTCTGCCCTTCACACTAATATGTTTTATTGTGCGCAGTTTCAGTGCAGATATCAGATCATTGCTGGCATAAAATACAAAACTGCTTTGAGAGAATTTAGGCTGCAATTCTAGCTACAGTTATTTATTACACAATAGGCCTTCTAACCACAGTGAAAATAACAAATTGCATGACTGTAGGACTGCCATGTTAGTGAATAAACAAGTTTGCAGGAGTCTGAAATATAGCTCCATTGCAAACTTAATCTGCATAAGGCATAAAAAGGTTATTTTAATGATCGTTTCAAAATAACCACTTTGAGGTTATTTCCTCCAAATGACCTAGCAGTTAAAATTCAATGAGTAAAATGATTTCAAGAAAGCCCAGAAAGCAATCCATGAAGGGCAGATCCCTTCAGAGGTTTATCTTCCAGCATATATTCTTCAGAGTTATAATCCCTCAGGAAACAGAGGTTACTGGGACAGAGAAATCTCTTATGATTTGATGTTCAGCTATCTAAGAAGAGGCACCAGCCACAGCCACATGTGATCAAGAAAACATGATTTCCTTTATTCTAAAGCTAATAAACCAACAAACAGGGAAAACACATGATGGCTGAAAATAAACGCTTATGAACAGAGATTGGTTGAATATCTTATTACATCCCTCAAAGGACAAAATAAAGAAATTTTGGCACTTTGAGAACTAATTCTTCCCGAGTCCCCTCTCTTTTTTTTCCTGTATCTCTCACCAGCTATTTTCACTGGATCTCTGAGTTCTAATGTTTTGATGCAGTCTCCCCATACAATTCCTAAGTGGGAGATTTGGATATAATCTCTGCCATGTGAATATTAAAGGATTGAAGATATCAAGGCTTAGAAAGAACTTTGTGTGAGACACTCCCCCCCCCCAAAAAAGCCACAGCCAGTTAGAGTAGCTAATATCAAGTTAGATGGACAGCTAAGCATGCTGTTTCATAGACAGCCACAACTGTAATAGGCTTGTGACCAGGGCAGCCTCCCCACTACTTCAGAGTGAATGCATCCCCAATCCATAAACCACCCCTCTTTGCAACTGCACTGTGCAGCAATTATAGTAATGAAGGCTTTTGCCTACCTCACTGGTGAACAGATCAGATGTCTTGTACATGTGTTCTTGTTTGATGTCCAAAACTCTGGAACAAAGAGATGTTATGTGAGATCGCAACAGGTCTGCACAGTCTGTAATGTCTGCATAAATCAAGGATAAGCAGAGCATGGATCTCCAGATATTATTGGACAGTAACTCCTAGTATTCTGCAGCACTGGATTTGCTTGCTAAGGCTGATAAGTGTTGTGGTTCAGTACTTGGCCAACCCCAGTATAAACGAGATCAGCCTGTGCAAATAAATGGGGAGCCAGGGGTCGGGGCTGGACAAGAGTATTTTGAGAATGTCTGCACCACAACCCAAAGGTTGAAATTATTTTGCTCCTGTTGGCTGTCATCGGCCATCTCAGGGTTGGACCAGCCAGTCCTTGTTGGTCTTCTGCTCCTGAAAACCTAAGCCAGCAACATCCTTTCTGGTACCAAACTGTATGGTAAAAGCTACTTTTATTGGGGAACAGCTCATGCTGAGATGACCCGTTGCCACATTCTTCATTTTGGAGGACCAGATCTTCTCTAGACAGGCTGCCATGGGAAAAGATAAAATCATATTTGGGATGATGGGATATGACTCACTAGATAATGAACTTATACCCTGCTGTTCACTCTAATTCCTAATTTGTTGTCCTGCCTTATTGTCTGTTTGCTCTATACTCTGCATGCTACTGTTTTTATGAAATTGTTCAGTTTATGATAAAACAGAAGCAACTGCCATTTTCTTGGTAGAGTAGAGAGAGTCCTGATTCCACTTCAATACCCTGATGAGCATACAAGAGTTTAAAGGAAACGGTAACTAAGATACCATTGCTGAGGGTGGAAACACACAAAATCCACTTTTGCCCAACACCTTTATTGCCGTCAATAAAAATGCCACAAAAGTATGCAAACTTTCAAGAATTCCCCACCCAATGAAATGAATGGGGGCTTGCTAGTTAGAAGGCACTAAAATTCTATTTATTTCAGTGGGTCTGCTCAACTTGAGGCTACCTTTGGATGTATCTCTCTTTATAGTTTTATATACACTTGTGTTTGTGTATCAGATTGAGTTTTCTAGGACAGCTGACAGGGTTATGCATCCAATGAAATAAACAAACCCATTTTTGAATATCTGGGTACAACATTTCCCAGATACACAAAATATTAAATGAGAATCATAAGTGTCACAGATTGCTTTCTGAGCATTCTTCTCTCCCCAGCTATATGGGGTTGTCATTCTAGACTACCTTGCTTCCTCCCGAGCCAAGATCTCCAGCAGCTTGGAAATATCTCGTGGACAATCAGAGATCAAGGTGGAGAATTTGCATACTCTGTTGTCAAGGGTGAGGGCACGATCTATGCACTGTCGCATCAGGGGGAGCTCCAGGTTACCACTGCACACAGCAACGGCCACTCTGAAAGAGCAAATTAATATCATGTGTAGATTTTCCTAGGTGGGAAACATACTCACCAGCATGTTTACTATGAGCATAGCCAACAATTAAAATGGAAACACCTTGAGTTTCTTACATAAGGGAAAAGGTGGTGGTAAATATACAACCAAATACAAATAAAAATTGTACAGCATGATGTTTGCCATCAACTATAGTTGTCTTCCTCTGCATATGACATACACCAGATTAGGGATTTTTTTTCATGTATAAAAACACAAGAAGAGACACGTTGGATCAGATTAAAAGTCTATCTTGTCAAGCACTTTTCCCAGAGTGGCCAATCAGTTGCCCATGCCTAGCTCACAGGCAGGATGTGGATGCAAAGGCATCTTCCTGCTCATGTCCCCTTGCATTGCTCTTGTCACAACAAGCAGTCACAAATAGATCCCTCCTCAATGAATTTGTCCTGTCCTCTTTTAAAGCCATCTAATGTCTGGTGTTATAAGAAAGCAATAAAAAAAGATGGTTCATTTTCACTTTTTGTACATGTGTATTTTTATATACCTTAGATCATGTTTCTTCTTGCTCCCATTTTTTTCCTAACCTAAACAGACCCACATCATAACATTTCTTGACAGAGGAGTTACTTCAGCCCCTTGCTCCATCTGGTTGCTTTTTTCTGCCCCCTTTCCAGCTCTAGAATATCCTTTCACAGTTGAAGTGACCATTAAGGTACACAATATTTCACATGTGGTCACAGCACAGATTTGCCTCAGGACATTAAGAAACTGGCAGAAATTATTTTATTCTTCTTCACGGCCTCTGTGAATCACACATTGGGTTCTCCTCAAGCCTGTGCAAAACTGCTTGGAAATGTCTACAGCCTAGACACAAAAAACCTCTGCCTCTATTCCCTACTGTGCGTGCCCTTCCCCACAATTATCCATCAGTTCCCTCTTTACTGCTGCCTTTTCTAGTTATGCCCAACAGAGAATCTGCCTTTCTTACAGCAAGCTACCCTTTGGGGTAACATTTTTTGTTTTTCTTAGGAAGTCTAAAAACCTCTGCCAGACAATTTTTTTTCTTGAAACCCATTTGGTGTAACTGGGATTTAATGATCATTTTTGTCAAAATCTTATCTAATAGATTTTTTTTAGCCCTCTGCATGGGCAGAGCAAACATTTAGGGCTCAGGGGAAAACCACAGGGCACTTTAAACCTACACAGTGCATGGGAAGAGCAAACATTTAGGGCTCAGGGAAAAACCACAGGGCACTTTAAACCTACACAGTGGTTCTTATCAGAATTTAAGCCCCACGTACTTACTTGGAAATGAGAAGGAACACCAAGTTACATATTTAAAATAGCATGTGGTTTAGCCCTGAAGGACAGGACAAATAATTGCCTCTGTTTCTATGAAGCACAGTCCTTTGCAAGTCCCTTCAGGGTTTGTGTACCTTTTGCCCTTCAACTCTGGCAACTTCCCAGCAACCACAGCTGCGAGTCCAATGGCCCCTTCGGCATCAACAGTGGCACGCTCATACTCCAGCAACCTCAGCATGGAAACCAGGATGTCCTCTTCTCTAAACAACAAGAGAAAGAGGGTCAAACAGGGCTGCTTCACACATAGAAGAGTGTTCCTTGATTTCTCACATGATTATTCAAAATAATAGCCTAGGATATGAGTTGAAAACAGTTACTCTGTTTGTGTTCTTCAAAAAAAAGGTCAAAAGGTATCTAGCCCAGCAGTGTCCAGACTTTTCACCATCACATGTCTCTCTGCTTTTTCCATCAAACCCACCCCCATTAAGACAATAACAAAAAAAAATCATTCATAATTTAACTTTTTTAAAATACAACTTTTTCTAAATGTATTTTACATTAAAAACAGCACAAATAGGTTTTATTTGTTGTCAAACGTAAGTAAAAATGAAATCTACCTTACGAGATAATAGAAGCGAAGCAAATTTTACATGAAGAATGCGACTGCATTTCTCAAGTCTCACCTCCCAACCCAATTAAATTTCTTTATGCCTCTCAAGTTTGGGAACCAATGATCTAATGTTCTAAACTTACATCGAATGGCTAATCCCAGCCAGAGTAGACCCACTGAATTAATTTATGAACTGAGAAACATTCATATCCATCTTGTTGCTTCATTGGGTCCACTTTAGTTGAGGGACCAGGAATCAGAGGCAAAACCATAAAGTTGAACTTGAGAACAAACTCATGAAGCTTCAGTGCAGTTCATCTTGATGCCATTTTCCTCTGCCATTGCCACCACAGTCCTAAACCCATTTGCCTGCAATGCCATTGTTCCATTATTGCCTGCATCATAGACCAGGTCTATGATGTCACAATACTATATGTGACATTCTGATATCACAAAGTAATGTAAACTAAATACTGTTGGTTGTCAGAGCCAATTGGATTGAGTACCATATGAAGCATTGGCCAAATGAAGCCAGTGGCTGGGAAAAAAAGTGCCAAATAACATAACACGATCAATGTGGGATTTGGGTTTTTTAAAAAGTAATTTGTCCTGCTGGTCTCAAGTGCTCTAATTCCAAAACTCCTACTGAAATGGGAGGATATTCAGTGCCACCTTAACTTGGTAGAGAAGTTCAGTGGAGTTCACTCTCCGGTAAGCTTTTCATAATACAGTATAAGCTTTATGTGGTGTGCTGACTGTTCCATTAGGCCAACTTAGGCAGCAGATTTGGGTTGTCATGACAGAGAATCAAGTGGTTTGTTATTTAATGTGTTCTTAAAGATTTACTGTTAGGAAGAGGGATTCCTGCTCATAGAATTTTTTGCCACATACTGAAATAACTTCCAGTATATTACGCACCTCAACTGGAGAAAGAAGGGGGAGACTTTTTGTTCTGTCCTTGGTAACAAAATCTCTTGTTCTGGCTCTGTTGCATAGCAATAACTAGGGCCTAAATTAAATGTTCAAGTAGAAGAAACTTGATTGAATCAATGAAATTTACTTAAGTATTGACTTATTCCCATTGATTCAATAGGTCTGATAATAACTACTAGCTCTATATGCAGGGTGATCAACATAACTCCTTCAATTTGTGCCAAATTAAAGAAGCATTTAGACTGCAATCATCTACCCAGCTGGCACAAAGTAAGTCATTGTCTCTGAACTCCAGGGGACATGCATTTAAGCAGACCTGTGCAATACAGAATGGCAAGAATTCTAAAAACTGACCAGGGAAACAAATAACTTTAAATTCCTCTAATTGGATTCCATACTTCACAGAAGGAAAAACAGCAATTGCTTTATATGAAAGGGGTTTTTAAGTGTTCCATTTAACTAGATTAAATAACTTGTAGATAGACATGGGAGCGTCATATTCGTATCCCTGTGGATATGGATTCAAAGCAGGGCACCACAGGTGCCATAGAGGCACATTTCCTCCCCCCAGAGCCAGGCTTCGTGTGGCATGTGCGTCCATTGTCGGTAACATTATGCCAATCACGGAAGTAGTCCTGCCGGCTCTTCCCCAACCCCCTGCGCTGCTGACCACTCTGGTGTGGAGACAGGATGACGAATCTCCCTGCTCAGCTCACTGAGTGGTCAGCACCTCAGGGAGGTGAGGAACTGCCAGCAGGGCTACTTCCACAACTGGCGTGATGTTATCGATGATGGATGTGCACGACACACATAGCCCAGTGGCTGGACTGGGCTGGTTCTGTGGGGGGAGGGTCCTTTGGTGGTGATCCCTCTACTTGTAGGACAAACATATGATGGTGAACATATCCATATATCCTGTGAATTTCACACAGCTATATATTATTCTGTCAATCATTGGATCTCATCCCATGTTCACTACATTGGGTCAATACAGGTTAGTTTGATTCCACTTGTTGTGACATATCCAGGGCTTATGCAAGAACACCTGAGGTCATAGCTAAACTAGAATAGTAAAAATAGAAGCGTTTAAGATTTAGGAGAGAAATATATTATCTTAATTTCTCTCCTGAAGCTCCCATACTCACTATGTAAGTGGCTTATCATGGGCTGCATTAAACTGTCCCCTAAGTTGAGTATGTGGTGGTCTGAGCTACTGAAAAATGACCTTAAAGTCATCATCATGAATGCCAATTCCAACTTAAAATTTAGATTCAGGAAACCCAAATTTAAAGAACAAATTTCACAAGGGACACCACCAATCACAAATAGCATATGGAATAATCAAAGAGACAGATTTCTCTGTGTGTACACATAGAAGTAACAATTTTTTAAAAAAGAAAGAAAATGGTTCCAGAACTGAATTTGCCATGTTCTCAGGAAATCTTTCCCTTTAAATGTTTGTGTGTGCTGAGGCTAGACCTCCAAAAAAGGGATGACAGAGCCAGCCCTGCTGAAGGATAGTCCAGGCCCTGTGCCTGTTCGACATTATGACACTTCCTGCACCCTTCCCGTGAACCTTTAGTTTCTGACACAACCAAGATGCCTCATGTAAAAAAACCTGAAGTGTGAATTGGTTCTCTGAATCACCTGGAAATATCTGAAGGTCACATCATAACATTTCTCATAAAACAATGCATTTCCTGTACCTACCTCACAGTTACAACCTTATCAACAAATTTCCCAGTCAGCTGTAAAGAGTTGGTGCCAAAACAAGGTCCACTCACTTCTGTAGATTGAAATGTTACATAAAGAAATCGAGGAATTAGTACTAAGCTATTTTTTTTATCTCTGGATGTAAACAGAAATGTAAAAAGTAAATGCAGTAGTTCGCCATTTTGCAGTCCACAGTGTAACTTAGTAATGGACTTTTGGAAATGGTAGTAAAGTCTTTGGTAGTAATTGATGGAACTGCCCTGTTGAGTAAATGCAGTAGTTCGCCATTTTGCAGTCCACAGTGTCACATAGTAAAGGACTTTTGGAAATGGTAGTAAAGTCTATGGTAGTAATTGATGGAACTGCCCTGTTGAAATGAAGAGCTGAACAGAGGAGGAAGGACTTAATGACTGTCATTGGCTGATCTGCTCATACTCTAGAAAGGAACTTAATAAAAGGTGGGTAGAAGAAGTAGAGGATTAAGAAGGGAAGACGTAGGAGCCTGTGGAATCAGTCGTCCAGGAAGAGCTGATTTTTTTAGACAAGAAGATTAGAAGAGGGAAAGGGAAATGCTGGAGAAGGAGAAATCTGGGAGACAGCACCAGTTACTTCAGGTACACAAGAGAGAGAGAGAGAGAGACGTGGCTAAGAGTTAAAATGTGAAGGATGATGAACTTCACATATTGGCTTGAAATAATAATCCAAATCACTATTGTACTTAATGGTTCAATTTTAATGAAAAGCATCGCTGACTTTTCATGACCCTTCTCAGGGTTTTCTAGATCTAAAATATTCAAAGTCATTTTTCCTTCCTTCTGGTGTTGCTCAGGGACTGTGCAGCTTGTCCAAAACTGAACAGGCTGGCTCTTCTCCCAGGAGATACAATACAAAACTGAACTCCCAGCCCCTGTACTGCAACCTAGTGATTTAGCATGTGACCTGTTCTGTCTTAATTTGACCACCATTCAATACTTTAGAG